TATGTTCTTCATAGATACGTAGTTGGGTTGCTCAACTCAGCTGCATGGTAGATCTAGTTTTAATATTTGAGAAACCTTCATACTGATTTACATACAGGCTGGACCAGTTTACATTCCCGCCAATACTTGCTTTTAGTATTTTTTTCTACACCTAGCCAATACTTTTAGTCTTTTGATATAGGAAATTCTCATAGGTATGAGGTGATACCTCACACTGGTTTTAATTTATATTTCCCTGATAATGAAGGATGATGAGCATTATTTCACATATATATTGACCATCTGTTATGTCTTCTTTGGAGAATTGTCTATTTGGATCTGCCTATTTTTTATTGGGATATATGTATTTTGAATTTTATTTCTTTAATAGCCAAGATTTACACTTTTGACAGATATGATGTACAAACATGGGCATGTTTAATTTGGTTTCTTTTGCTGGTGAAATTTATCATTTAATATAGTCCTATTTATTTATTTTGGCTTGTTTTCCTTTTTTTGAAAGTCCAGTCCCCAAAGAAATCACTGAGGCAATATTGGGGAGTGTATCACCTATATTTTCTTTTCTATCTAGTTTTAGGTCTTACATGCACATCTCAATCCATTTTGATTAATTTTTTATATGGTGTAAACTAGTGGTCTGTTTTGTTGGTTTTGTTTTTGGCATATTGGTGTAGGGAAAACAGTAAACCATTTCCTTTCTTCATTTATGTTCTTGACTCCTTTGTCATAAGGAGTGCTCATTTAAGTGTGAGTTCATTTCTGGGCTTTTTCCCCATGGATCTGTTTATTCCAATACAATTATTAAGATTTGTTATCCTAAAATTAAAATACTAACAAACTTAAGATTTTTAATGTCCTATCACATGATCTATCCTGGAGAATGTTCCATGTATATTTAAGAATATGTATACTGCTATTGAATAGAATGGCATATCAATGTAAATATATTATGAATATGGCTCAATTCCAACATAATTGATTTGACTTGGTGACCTGTTCGATGCTGTAGTGACTTAAATACTAGACTCCTATTATATTGTCTGTTTCTCCTTTACATGTCTTATATTTGCTTAATACATTTCAGTGCTATAATCTTCGTACTATATCATAATATATAGGCCATTTTATCAGTATGTCATTTTCTCTTATTACTATTCTGGCTTTAAGTCTAACTGATGTAAGTATGTCCAGCCCCACTCTTTTGGTTTCTATCTGCCTGTAGTATCTTCATCCATCACTTTACTTTGAGCACATGTGTGTCCTAAGAATTGAAACAAGCCTCCTGTAGGCAGTATATAGTTGGGTCATTTTAAAATCCATTTGGTCTGACTTTTGAGTGAATTCAATTCACTTACATTTACAGTAATTATTGGTGTACAAGGACTTACTACTGGCATCTTATTTACCATCTGGTTGTTTTCTATTACCATTGTTTCTTTTACCCATTGTTTCTTTCCCTGTTTCTGCCTACCTTTGTGACTTCTACCTCACCTTTTTTGTATTTCATTATTTTACTTTGTAAACCATGAGATTTACATAAGTTTTTATGGCTGTCAGCTTTATTCATTTATAAAAGTTCCACCCTTTCATACCATTTATAGTTTTGATGTAAGAATTTTTTATGCTAGTTTAACAAATTAGTTATATTCGCTATAATGCTCTTTCCTTTAACCTTTGTTGTAAGTGGCTAACATAGCATTCAGAGTTTTCTAATTCTGCCTAATATTTACCATTACCAGGTTATTAGTACTTTTATGTAGTTTTCTCTAATTAAATTTTCATATGACCTTGAAAAACTCATTTTGTGCAATTCACATCTAGTGATTGTGGGTTTACCAAATTGTCTCTGGAAACCCTTATTTTTCCATCACATTTGAAGAAAATCTTTGCTGGGTGATGCATTCTTGGTTGGCAATGACTTTATCTTTCAATACCTTGAATGTCATTCTAATCTCTTCTGATCTATATAGAATTTCTCCAGAGAAATCAACTGATGGGGGCCTCCTCTGTGGTGCAGCGGTTGAGCGCTGGGTTGCAATGCTGCCTGCAGCCTCTGCGGCGCCGGTTCCATCCCCGGCTGCTCCCCGGCCACCGGGGGAGGGTCCCACATGGCGCGCAGACCTCTCCTGCCGCCCGCTGCTCCCCTCAGCAGTGTACTTCGGTCCTTCTGCCTGCTCTGCTCCCCGCTCTGGCTCTGGTGAATTCTCTCACCCTCCTGTGCTTCTGACTGTACCCAGTGCATGTATAAACAAAACAAACAAACAAATAAATAAATAAATAAATAAAACATGCCTCTATTAAAAAAATAGAAAGAAAGAAAGAAAGAAATCAACTGATGGCCTAATCATTGTTCTCCTTAGCCACCTTTGAGATTTTTTTTTTTTTAAATAATTGACTTTAACAAGTCCACTATGTTTTAGAAGTTTGGATTTTTTTTTTTTTTAATTTATTGACTTCTTTGACTTGCATATACAATTCCTCTTCCAGATTTTAGAAATTTCACCTATTTCCTTAAAGTCTTAATGACCTTTTCTCTCTTTTCCTCATTATATATTTGCTTTTCTAATAAAATCTGATAGCTCACATAGGTTTTCTTCACTTAGAAGGAGAAAACTAAATTTCTAAATTCCCATCTTCCAAGTCACTTATTCTCTTACTCTGGTAAAGAACTTGTGTTCACTTTTATTCCGAAGTTCATACAATAGCCTTGAATCCTGTTGAATTTCTTCTTAACCACTATTTTGAACTTTTTATCAGATTTCAATATTCCATGTCCTTAAGTTTGATTATTAGAAAGTCATCACTTCATGATGCCACATTTTCTTGACTTTTGCAGTGTTTGAATATATGTACTACTTTCACATTTTAATTAGCAACTTATTTTTTTCCTTTGGGTGTTACAGTTCCATTGGTTGGCAACTGTAACCTTTATGCTCCAGAAGGTGGTGCTATAGTTCAGATTTTCTTTGTTTCTCCTACCAGAGTTGGCTCTTGGGGCTGTACTCAGGAGCATGTAAAAAGAGCTCACAGCAACATGTGAGGAAGTGTGGGCTTAGCAACTGGGACTTCAGGGATGCCTGTGAATCAGTAATGGACTCCTTGAGTTGGAGATTACCAGTGGTCCCACAGACAAACCTCTTCCTGCTTCGAGACTGAAGGAAACATTCTTTTAGTACTTACTGATATTTGTTTGCTTCCTTCCCTTCCTCTTCTTCCCATTGTTCGTGCAGATCCTGCCTCAGAAAATCAGATACTCTGAAAGAGAGACAGGACCCTCCAGCCTCAAGTGCAGCTGGGCAGTGTCACTTATCACTTAGGCTTTCCAACAAAATTCCAGGACTTTGCAGTATTGACAGGATGGGAGAGGGGAGTGCTTGATGGGTTTTTCCCTCTCTCCTGCCCCAGTGGCATGCCAGGATCTCCCGTTAGAGAATTTGCAGTGGTCCCTGTAACCTGTCTCCTAGGAGTGTCCACTAAGTTTTGCAATCTAGGTGCCCTGTTACCTGATTATGGTAAGTGGGGATAGGCCAAGTTCAATGACTCCATTGGGTCTACAATCCCCACCAAGGCGCTAGTCACTCATTTTCTGAGGCATAGGTGGGTAGAAATGGCCTCATTATTCTGGTGTAATGTGCAGAGGCATGCTTGTTTTGTTATAGATCTAAATCAAGAGAAAAGAACTCACACTGTCCTGATGTTGAAGGCACTGTCAATGTTCTGCTTTATCTGGGTGCTGTCTCCATGGGCACAATTTACAAAATCTTATAAAATGCATTAAGTTTCATACTCATTATATGCATATATAAAAGTATACATATATAAAATTTAAATGTGACTCCATTCCACTTTTGGCCATAAAGCCAGAAGAACTGAAAGAAATAACTTGAGAGATTTATAGTCCCATGTTTGTGACAGACTTAGTCACAATAGTCAAAAGATGAAGGCAGCCCAAGAGTTCAATCAACAGATTGGATAAGCAAAATGTTGTATAAACATACAATGAAATATCAGCCATAAAAAGGACATTTTGATAATACGCTATAAGGATGAACCTTGAGGAAATTTAATAGGCGAAATAAGCCATTCTAACAAAGACAAATACTGTATGATTACACTCATCAGTATTTAGTTGTCAAACTCAAAGCAGAATGATGGTTGCCAAAGACTGAGTAGAATAAGGAAGGGTGAGTTATTTAGTAAGTACGGAGTTTCAGTTTTGCAACATGAGAGTTCTGTGAATAGATGGTAGAGATCAGTAGCACAACAATGTGAATGTAGTTAAACTACCAAGCCGCACACTTGAAAATGGTTAAGATGGTAAATTTTGTTATGTGTATTTTACATTTTTTCCAAAGAGGTTAAATGTCACTTAAATATATACCGTCCAAGTAAATGTATCCTAATGCAGTTAGTTATCAGCTTACCTCTGAACATTGCAGAGTTTTCACATCTCTTATTGAATTACCCTAAACTCTATCTGTTCAATCCTGTTGAGTACAAGAAGTATAAAAAGTCAACAGTGGACTTAAATATATACTGTCCAAGTAAATGTATCCTAACGCAGTTATCAGCTTACCTCTGAACATTGCAGTTTTCACAACTCTTCTCTTATTGAAATACCCTAAACCCTACCTGTTCAATCCTGTTGAGTACAAGAAGTGTAAAAAGTCAATAGTGGACCATCCTTAAACAGCAAGGTGAGATACATAAGATTGCTTTCCATTTTAACAAAGTGCTTCAACATCCTTTCATTCATACTCAACTGCTTTGTGAGAAAGGCAAAAACAGGTCTTATTATCCTCAATTCAAAGTTGGGGGAACTGAGCAAGATAGAAATAAAATCATAGCCCAAAAAAAGAAAAAAATCTGATAACAAATTCAAGCTGGAAAACATCCTTATAGCCCTCAAACTCATTACCAGTCTTGAAAAGTTCAATTTTAAGATTGTTCCTATAGTAAAACACTTCGTTAGATCTTTTTAATGCATTGAAAAAATTCACTTTGACTTGAAAACATTTTATTTAATTTATACAAATAACTACTAAATACAAAAAGTAGATTAAAACAAAATAGTTATTTTTTTTTTCTGGCAGAGTTTAAATGCACATAATGGATAATTCCGAAGAAAATGCATTTTCCCCACAGCGTTCAGGGACTAAAATTCTACTGAAATCTTTGCTTCTAAATCAGTAATATATTTGATGGCGTCACATGGGTAATGGCTAAATATGTTCTGCATATGAACTGAAAAGTTACAGTCTACACACATACAAATGTGAAGCACTTAAAATGTGAATTTAACTGATAACAAAAGTCCATTTCAGAGTATAGTGTTAAAAACATTTAGGTAATAAAATCATAAGACCACATAAAAATAAGCTTTAACATATGCACGAAACAGTTTTGTAAAAACTGCTGGGTGCACAAGTAATAAATAATTTGCAAAGTTGTGTATAAACAATTCCTAATGTTCAGCATCATTGTAAACATCAGCACATGTGTAAAATGCAGCAAAGTCTGACATTATATTTTGTTTTGCCGAATTGAGTTCCTATTATCCAAAGACAGACCAGTGGAGTATGCTGCCAACGTTTTGGCAAGTTGGGTCTTTAAAATTAAGAGTAACAGTGCAAGTAAGGAATGCAAAGAATTCCTAGTGCAATAAAGAAGAGAAGCACAGGCAATATTGCTGATTAAAAATTCACCACCTCCTTGAGTTTCCCGTGGGGAGTGTCTAGAAGACAGGTGAAAGATATGCAAAGCCACTGTCTTAATGCCCAGATCTCTTTAGGATTTCTCTGTGTTCCTCCAGTTCCCTACCTTTGCAACAGTGTCTGTCCAACATTAGTCTCTGCAGTGTGAACAATTGTGAAATGCCCAGTTCACAGTCATTGAGCGAGGTTAGGGTGGTTTTGGTGTCTCCCCAACACATGGCTGGGTAGGATGTCTGCCTTGTCAAAGCAGCCATTTAGGGAGGGAGACAGATGGATTCTGTTCTGACAGCCAGTCAGGCCAGCATTAGGTCCCAGCTGGACAAAACAACATCAAATCTTCCTTCTTGACACCGTGAAAATGTCAACAGTCAGTTTTCAATTTGTCTAGGGAATTATCAATTTTGGTCAAAGTCTTTTTGATACGCAGAGCTGTGAGTCTTGCAGATGGATTTTGATACCAGCATTCTTTCATAAGCTTGGCCAGAGAGGTTAATGTCTGAGGAGAAAAAGAACAAACACCATGGTGAAAAAATGTCAGGCATTGTGGTTTTTTTTTTTTTTTTTAGTGACCCCAGAAGCTGGGTAGATATTGTGTCCACTGTTTTTGTAGAACTCTGCAGGTCTCATGAAGTTAGTCATGTTATTGCGATCCTCTTTATCAGTGGTCAAGGCTTTATTTGCTTTAAAGAAGTCACTCTTGAGCTCCATGAACTCTCACCTTTGGACTCCTAATGCTACCAAGTACCTTTATCAGGTAAATTACATAGGCCAGGCTGGACCCTTTGATGGTTTTATGGGTGCTACAAGTGTAATGCTAACCCAGAGTTAATACTGAAATTTACAGATAGGGTCATTTCCCAATGTCTTAGATTTTCTACTACTTACAAAAGCAATAAGGATTTTGAGCACTGAACAGCTTATGTTTGGAATTTCAAATATATAGACATGGAAAAAAGCTTAAAAGCACCTTAGTTTACATGTGACTGCAGTTCTGGACTAGTGGCACAATAATGAATGTTTCAGTTCTTGGAGTTTGGTAGTATTAGAAAATTGTCATTAGCAAAACCTGTAAGATATGGCTCTATTAAGACTGAAATTTTGTCAAACTACTCAGCTAAGTCTTAAGTTGTCTTAAGTCTAAGACCATTTACATGAAACAGGGAGAGGGAGTAAGAGTTATGGGAGGTCTCCAATACTAGGGCAAATTGAAACTCAGCAGTAGGCAAGCAGCTCAGGACAGCTACCTAAGAAACAGGCACTCTTACCGGGTCTGAGAACCATCTGTTGGGTATGTTTGGCCTCTGTTGATCCACGCAGACCACCTTCCTCATATCTTCAAAACTTGGGTCATTAGGAACCACATCATAAAATGGTGGCTTGTAATCCTCTACAATACCTGCACACAGACAAGAATTGTTGGGGTTAGCTAAAGACTGGAATTACCCCAGGGTTCTAATATGACAGCAAAAAGTACTGATGACCTTTCTCAGACTTCACGGTGATTCTGAAAGCTACAGATAATCTTTAAAATATGTGGACAACAAAGCAGTAATAGAGCAAATGGAGGAAGAGTAATTATTAAAAAATATACACTACTTCTCATGTAATTACAATTAACATAATGCTCAAAGCATGTATAAATTCTAATGTCTACCAGAACATAGAAAACCAAAACCCAGAACAAAAATTCCTGTGTGATCAAAAATAGACATCTAGAAAAGATGAATTTAGTGGTTTCAGACCATACAGAGAACTAAAGCTTCCACAAATGTAGAGGCAAACAGATAATCAAAGGCCATCATCAAAATACCTTTTATATAGGAAATGATCAAGAAGAAAAATAATGATTTCCATAAAATGAATAGCTCCCATTGGGAAGGACGCAAGTAATGTAATCTGAAAAATTTATTTCCTCAATCGTTTTATATGTACTGAGTACCCCTACCTGTCAGACAGTTACCTGTTTAATGGCCCTATGATTTACTTTCAGATTGAAAGCACAAAATGTTGAGCAGGACAGTCACTGTGCAGTCATTGGTTAAAAAGGATAAACTCTCCTCTTACATCCAAGCAAACATGAAGGTGTAATTTCAGCTTATGCCACTACATGGTTTCTACCACCTCAAAATCCTTTTTTTTTTAGAAAATTACATCCATTCCTTTTCACAAAGATGTGTAATTCCACAAATGGAGAAATTTTAAACTTCATTTGGAATTAGAGAATTGATTCTTCCCCTTCTACAAAGGAAACCAAGAAAATCCATTTCCTTCCCATCATCAAAAGCTTCAACAATGAGGATAGTGGATTACTTGGTTTACTGTCTCTTCCTTCCTCCACGTAACATTCTTCTATTCCTAAATACTGGACAGGTTTGTTGGGAAGCATCTGAGTAAAGTTGTAATTTTCTAGTTCCCAAAAAGCTCCAATCCCCTCTTCATTTATCAGAGAAAAATTAACAGTAAGAATCCATTCTCTCAATACCCATATAAACACAACCATTTATACAAAAGAAAAGGAAATACTGCATTTTCGTCAACTAAGTTTACCGAAACATGGAACATAGCCTAAATTATGTTTAAAAACTTCTCATTTATATTCTTATGCCTAATAATTTATTCATACTATATAACTACATTTGTAGTGCATTAGGTACTGGATTAAATCTTTTCCGGGAAAATCATAAATGGCTCATGTTGGGCATAAACCCATAATTGTGGGACGCGTTATCCTAGAGGCCCTACTTACCTTGTAAGGCTCTTGGGAAGCATTCAAACAAATGTTCTTTCAGTACTAAGATATACCAGATAAAATACAAATGGACATGAAATCGGCGAGGTACTTTTTTTTTTTTTTTGCAAGGACCATATTAATTTATAAAACCGATTAAGAGTTTTTCTACCATCTCTGAATTTTTCTGAAAGAATGTATTTGACAACCTGGTTTAAGAACTTGAAAATCTAGCCAGCTATTGAGTACTTGCCTGACTTGGGAAAGGTTATATAAATGTGCACAGGAATACTAAGTTTGATTTTTTTTTTTTTTTCTGTAAATGCTAAAGAAAAGGCATCGTTGAATTTTTGAAACCATATCTGGTGATAACCACGGTGAATTTCCCTTGCCAAGCTCAAGGTTTCCCATGTGTTTATATTTCACATATTGTAATGTTATTAAATGCTGCTCCCTCTTCACAAAAACAATCAAATTAAAGACCATTTAACTGATATGCCTGCACTGAACTCCCTTCAACTATTGGTCGAGTGTTTCTGTCTGACCCTGTCATGCGTCTCCAGATTAAAATAGGTTTGGGATTAAACTCTAGCGGTCACATGGCTCTCCCTCTGGTCAAGGAAAGCAATTACTTTAATATATAGACCAGCCAGTATAAAGTACATTATGTATCTGTCATGTGCAGATTATCATCTTAAATGTTTAGGATAGAAGTATATATAAGACATGCTCTTGTTTGTCTCAAAATCTAATGGAAGATGAGTTTATCTTTTTCTCCTTAGAACACAAAAATCTTTTAAAGAACAATTGTTTTGACCCTCTATATCTTGAAATTCCTAAATTGATTCAATAACCATTTGATCCCTGTGTGTGTCAGAGAAGCTTGGTACTAGGGGTACAAAAAAGAAAAAAAAGGTGATGTTAGAGCAGAATATTGGGAAAGGATATATGTAGAATAAATTATAAACAAGCATTTTCCAGAAGTGGGATGAGGGATGTGGCATTCAGTACATCTCAGAAGAAAATCCTTGCATGATATGTTCAGTACCTGACACAAATGGAAGCAAAGTCAGCCTTTTAGGAGCTTGAGCAGCAAGGTAGAGTTTGCAAGACAGAAGGGGCATGTCAGGTGGATGAATGCCGTGGGGCAAAGATCAGGGGTTACAAATGAACCCCATACCTTGGAGAAATGCAAGGACATTTCCAATGACTGAAATTGGGTGCACATGGTAATAGGGAAAGTGGGAGATTAGGGCCAGAACGAAATGTGTTACACTAGGAAGTTTCTTGACAACTGTTCCTCACTTCTGCCAGAAAGCGACAATCTGGGTAGCCAGGCAAAAAAGTGAACTCTAAGTCTTTTGAAGGCAGCAGTCAATAAGCAACTGCCAAACTGTGAGCCACCAAAGAGGACGGCATAAATGCAGGAAAGTAACTAAAAATACAAAGAACCTCCAGTGCCAAATGAGCGGTACAGACAAGAGGGGATACAGGCGCGCAGGCAAAGACGCACACTTACATGGTGGTCAGGCACGCTGAGCCCGGCCTTGTTTCTCCATGTAAGGCAGCTGGTGTGACTCAAAGGGCCATGAGAAAGAAATCTGAGAAATTATTCATACTCTATATATGCCAAAAGTTGTGGGGGTGTATGTGATTTGTACAATAGTTTTTTTTTCCCCCCCCCCCATGCATATGTCTAGTAGAAAGTTTTCTCCTCTCTGGGGCAAATAGCTTCTCTACTAACCAGTATCTCTACCCTTAGCTTGCTGCATGGTTCTGAGTAAGCCCCTAAATTGTTGTGCCTGAGTTCTGGGACCTTTAAAGTGCACATCACAAAGCTGGTGAAGATCACCAAGAAAGACCTACAGACAGTGCTTCAAAAGGTATGAAATACCAGAGTGGTCTTTTCTAAAATCCAAGTCTCCAGAAAGTGTTTTTCATGACCCTCTCTATTAATTCCTTTGACAAAGGTCTTCATCTTCTCCCTTTACAGCTGCATTTAGGACTCACAGGTCTTCATTGCTTCCAATCCGCCCTTGGAGCCCTTGGCCTCTGGCAAGATTTTTAGTAGAAAACCAAGGTAAAAGTTCATTTTGTCTTGCCTCCGTGCATGGTCCTTCCACCAAAGTTGCCCGTGGGATTGTGCTCATTCCCCATTAACCTCATTCCCCTCAGTGCTTTACATACCTGAGCATCAGTCACAATGCAACCACCTGCAGTTCTACCAATGGGGCGCTTTCACGACTCCCCACACCATTAACTTTGCCTGTCAACATTCTCATTTTTTCTCATTGCCACCTGTACATCATCCTAAGCTTGTACCGAGTATCCTCTATTCACCTCATTGGAGTTTAACTCCAAAGCCCCAGAAAAAATCAAGTGCCCTCCTTCCTATCCTGAGTCCCCTCCCTGTACATCTCAACCATATTGGCTTATTCTCCTAATTCATAACAACTGTCTCTTCAACTCAAACTTCAATGGGCACTTTAAAATTTGGTATCTTTTTTTTTTTCTTTTGCTGAACTGCATACCATTAGCCTAACAGAACCTGCCATATTAGAGACCGTAAGTACATATTTGAGAGAATGTTTTAAGTCCGTACAATCCCTTAGCTAAAATCCTTGAGACTAAAGGTGTTTGCAGAATTTGGAGCTTTTCAGATTGTACAAAGGTAACGAGAAACACACCATATTTTGTGATACCCTAGCAAAATCTGAGGGATTATTTCTACAAGGAAATATAGCGTTTAGTTTTAATGTTCATATAAGTAGACTCATGTCGATTTAGGTCAGGCCTGACTACCAAATGAGTTCAGATGTTTTGTCAAATTAAAGTTTTGGGGTTTCAAAGCTTTGGGTATTTCTCAATTGCAGATAAAGGATCTGGCTATGGTTTGAATCACAAGAAGATGAGGAAACAAGAGATCTAATGGGATGTTGGTCATGAGGTCACTCTTCCCACTGAGGACCACTAAGGAAAACGTGTGAGTGGCCAAGCTAAACTAAATCTAATTTCCTGTTCATATCCTAGGATTCTTCACCAGAAGCCAATGATAAGATAAAGAAATATGGCGCACTCTGTACTACCCACATGTCACAGCACTGCTCCTGCCACATTATGCTGTCCCTCTTCACTGTCCTCTAACTTGAGAAGTCACGTCTGATATACAGATAATAGGTGAGATAAAATCCTTTAGAAATTGGAGCATGAGAACTAAAGTCATCTAGTGAGAATTAGATTGGTTCATATTTGCCTTCAGAGGATTCTAACCTAGGGTTTATCTTGGTCTCATGTGAGAAAATTTGATGTGGTTCATGTATGAAACTTGTTCCATGTGCTACTGACTTTTCCAATTCTAGTAGTAAAAATAATTTTAAAAAGTCATTTTAAAGGAAAAGATTAAGCAAATAATGGTACAAATGGAATTTGGGCATGAGCAAAACCATGAAGGTAGGAATATGAATGAACTGTGGGAAATATGGAGATTACAGGAAGGCATTCTTCCTGGTAAGACAGGATTCAAAAAGGTGTATTTGTTTCTTTAATACAGACCTATGAAACAATTTGTATGCCATGGTCCACATCAAAATGATACCAGATCAATTGAAGGAGTCCAGGGGGTGCTGTCAACTAGCTATAGGTTTAAAAAGTACTTCAGGTATTTCTTTAACCCAACAGCACACACTCAGTGAGATGCCCTAACTCAAGTGGTTTTGAATCAGGAATGGAGTTGGACTGCTGTGTTTCTTGCTAGGTACTGGGCATGTGTGCCAGTTTTGTCCTTATCCCTCATCCCCACTGCAATTCATGGACACTCAGAACTATGCACGTCACAAAGTCAAGAATAATTACACCCAAACTCTGCATCAGATATGAGGGAGAAATAAAGGCCCTCACAGACAAAAAGCAGCAGGAGGTTGCAAATAGACCTCCCCTATCTTAATCAAAGAGAAAAAAAATACACAAAAAAACTGAACAAGGACAGAAAAACCACAAAGACAAAATGGTTGTAGCAAATCCTCATATAGCAATAATCACCGTAAATGTAAATGGAATGAACTCACTGCTCAAAAGGCACAGAGTTGCTGGCTGGATCGGAAACAAAACCCAACCTTCTGTCTCCAGACGACTCATCCAAGCTCCAAAGATAAATATAGTATCAAGGTAAATGGTTGTTTTTCAAAGAAATATAACAAACATTACTGAAATTTATTTGGAACCATAAATGAAGCTAAAGAGTCAAAGCAATCCTGAAAAGCAGGAAGAATAGAGGTAACATACTCCCAGATTTCAAACTGTATCACTTTAGTGATAAAAACAGTATGGTATTGAAATAAAGACAGACACATAGATCAATGAAGTAAAACAGAGTCAAGATATTAACTGTCCATGTAAGTGGGGGTTTATCTACTACACAGGAGTTAAGAGTATATAATGAAGAAAGGAAATTCTCTTCAACAAATGATGTTGGGAAAGCTGGGTAAACTAGACCACTATCTCTCACCATAAACAAAAATTCAAAATGGATTAAAGACTGGGATGTAACACTTGAAACCATAAAACACATAAGGGAACATGGGTGAAACATTCCATGATGTTGGTTTCACAAATACCTTTAAGGACTTGACTCCAATAGGAGAAACAAACAAACAAAAAAAAAACGTCAAACTGAAAAACTGCAGAGCATAAGAAACTAAAACAAAAATGCACCCTTCTGAATGGGAAAAGTATTTATACATCATATATCTCACAAGGGGTTAACATCCAAGATTTATAAAGAACTTACACAACTCAAAAACACACTTCTCCAAAGAAGACATACAGATGGCCAATGGGCACATGATAAAAATGCTCATTACTCATCAGGGAAATGCAAATAAAAACCACAATTAAGATGCCATCTCACCACCTGTGAGAAGAGCCCACCAGACAGATCAACACTGAAATAAGTGTTGACAAGAATGTGGGGGAAAGGAAACCTCCACCATTGTTGGGAACATGGGCTAGTCCCATGTTAAACAGTATAAGGGTTTCTCAAAATATTAAAAATCTATCATGTCATCCAGGAATTCCAGTCCTTGGAATCTACTCAGAGAATGCAAAAACAGTAATTCAAAAAAGTATATGCATCCCTATGTCGACTGCAGCACTACTTATGTAGCCAAGTACTAGAAACAACCTAAGTACCCAATGACAGATGCATAGATTAAGAAGATGTGGCATTAATATACAATGGAATAATACTGGGAAAAAAAAAATGAACTCTTTCCAACAAAATGGATAGAACCGGAGGGGATTATGCAAAGTAAGCCAAAAGGAGAAAGACAAATACCAGATGGTTTCACGCATATGTGGAATATAGAGAAAACAAAGGGTCAGAAAAATCAAACCAAAAAGAAACCCTGTAAATGTGACCATAAAATTAAGGCTACTAGAAGGGAAGAGGCAGGGTGGACTGTGTGTGCTTTGGTAGTATTTGTGATGTTGTCACACACATCTGAAGTATGAGCCTGTATCTCTCAATCATATGTAGTGTTGTAAAACAATGTTCCATCAAAAAATGTTTCAGAATTAAGTTATTGTTCTTTTAAGTATTCCCTAGCATCCACCCCATAAGAAATGTAGCTTGGTCCCAAAGATTTTTCCATGAGATATACTTTTTGGGACATTTTAACAATAAAGATAAAATCCTGCTATATGCAACAACATGGATGAATCTAGAGGATATTTTGCTTAGTGAAGTCAGTCACATAAAAAAACACTATGATTTCACTCACTGGTATATGGAGAAACCAACCAACCAAATGAACTAAATAAAACTTTTAGACTAAAAGGACCAATGAGTGGTTACAAAAGTAAGCCTGGTAAAAGTTTCAATTGTTTGCTGAACAAAAGTGGACATTTTTGTGGTGAACTTCATGCAGTCTATATAACTTACAATGACACACACCTGAAACATGTACTTTCCAGATTTGGAGAGTAAGACCTGAAACCATAAAATATATAGAAGAAAATATAGGCAAAATACTACATGACATCCACCTCACTAACATCTTTAAAGACACTTCCCCCAAAGCAAAGAAAGTGAAGGAAAAGATGAACAGCTGGGACATCAAATTAAAAAGCTGCTGTACAGCAAAAGAGACATTAACCAAATAAAGAGACACCATACTGATTGGGAAAAAAATTTTGTACTCCATACAACTGATAAGGGACTGATCACAAAGATCTACATAGAGGTGATGAGAGTCAAAAAATGGGCAGAAGAGCTAAAAAGACACTTCTCCAAAGAGAAAATGCAAATGGCCAACAGGTATATGAAAAAATGTTCATCACTTGTAATCAGGGAAATGCAAATTGAAACCACACAGATACCACCTTACACCAGTGAGAATGGCACATTCCAAAAAAAAAAAAAAAAAAACTAGCAACAACAAATGTTGGTGAGGATGTAGAGAACTCGCCTACCCTGTTGATGGGAATGCAAACTAATCCAACCACTATGGAAAGCTGTGTGGAGGTTCCTTAAACTACTAAAAATGGAGCTTCCATATGACCCAGCTATTCCACTCCTAGGAATCTACCCAAAGGACACAAAAACATTAATTCAAACAGATACATGCACCCCTATGTTTACTGCAGCACTATTTACATTAGGTAAGCTATGGAAACAACCCAAATACTAAAAAATACATGACTGGATCAAGAAGATGTGGTATATATACACAATGGAATACTATTCTGCAATCAAAAAATAAACTCATGCCATTCACACGCAGCAACATGGATGGAGATGGAAGGAATTATGCTCAGTGAAATAAGCCAGAAAGAAAAGAAAAAAATGTCAGATGGTTTCACTTATAGGAGGAACCAAATAAGGGATCAGGAAAATATATTTATATAATAATTTAAAAAACTAACAGGCAACTATTAATCAAAGACTGCAGGGGAGGGAAGAACACAGACTATGGTGATGGTGCACAGGTGAACTGGTAGTGGGAAATTTACAGGGACTAAATGTGAGAGGAGAAAGTATGCATTGTACAAAAAGGGAGAATGATGTAAGATATATATAAAAATATATATATATAATAATAAAGTGCTGCTAATACCAAAAAAAAAAAGGCTGGTTTTCAAATGTATTAACAACATGACCAGTGTTGCAGCACTGTGAATTTTCTGCATACAGAGATCCAAACAAGATATAATACAAAGTGTGAGACTCCAGAAAAATGACTTATAAGCTCAGAAGGGACAATGCTACAGGAGTTCTTGGAAAGGGTTTTCAAAGGTTTTAGATTTGGACCAAAGCTAAATGTCACAAGCCCAGTTATCATATATCCATTTATCTTGAGAATAAGATAATGCACATTTAACTGAACTCAGTAACCAGAAACTTTTCTGTTGCATCCAGGGGTGTGTCTGTTTCCTGGCCCAGCTGAGACTGATTCAACTTAGTCCATTTTAACTCAGGATCTCAAGAGTATGGCCCCTGATCTAGCAACAGCATTACCTGGTGCCACATTAGAAGGAGAAATTCTCTGTCCATCTCTACCTATTAGAAACTCTGGGTCCTAGCACTTGCTGTAGGTGTTCTGATACACATTTCAGTTTAAGAACTGTCAGTTCAAGCAAACCCTGCCTTAAGTTCATATACAGTATTCATATAGAAAAGGTGAGAAACCCATTTTCCTTCCTACCAATGCCAAATTCAGTGTCAAACTAAACACCAAAAGTAAATTCTAAATGACACCATTAAGAAATCTTCAGATGTGAAAATGGCTTTCTCATTTCCTGTACAAAAACAGCATGAAGCTTATTAGTAGCAAATAAAGGTAAAATGCCAATGAAAATAGAAATGCAATATATTTTTATACTCATTTTATATTTCACTTGAGGATTACTGCTCCAGGAGAACTATTTGGTCATCAATTTTTATAATGGACTCAAACGACTCATAATTATAATGACGTTCTTAAGATATTCATATATTCAAATAAGGTGCATTTTATATATAATTTTAAAAATGCATATTCTTTTAATGAAAGTTCCTACAACTGGTAAGAAAGTGAAATAGGTCCATCACACCCTAGGGTCAGGGGGATATTGTAAATTAGAACAAGTCTTCTGGAAAGCAACTTGGTATATGTGTCAAGCTGCAAAATCATCCCTACTCAGACCTATTAAGTTACCTCTTTTTATACTAAGAATTCCCCAAATAAAGTTATATGAAACAAAGCTGTCTACCATAGGCCCCAAAGGGAGGGGACTGGATGTCTAGCAATATGGAAAGGGTTAACTTAGTAAACTGTCGTGTAGCCAGGAAAAGGTAGTACAGAATTGAATTTAGTCAACAGTGTATATATCAGCCAAAGAGAAGTGATGGAAAGAAACTGGACTGTTGGAATTTAAGAGCAGTATTTTTCTTTTCATTCTCATTTTTTCTATATGGAGGTAGTAATAAAAATAGTTATAAAACATTTTCAAGCAGCACTGAATACTTTTAAGTCTGCAATGAAACGATGTGTGTGTGACTATTGGGAGAAAAGCACTGAGAGAGAAAATATCAAATTAGTCACCACCAAGATGCAGTAACTGGCTTAAAATGAAAAATAACTTACCTTTACCTGCCTAGAAATTTCAGACCATACCACAGAAGCCCAACTCAAAATTTTAGGAATTCCAGTACACTCTAACTGATGTCAACCCAAGTATTCTTTCTTCCTCTACTTTTTATGATTTTTCGGATGATTAGAACTTCAAACTATTAATCACAGCTGATCCTTAAAAGCCACACAGGTTTATGCCTATGACAGAGAATCAGTTTGCAACACGAGTCCTTTTACAACGCCCAAATCCCAAGTTTTTGCCAAGTTCAGCTTTCATCACACAGGATTGCTTAGTGAGTCTCGACACCCACAGCTGCAAATGCTACCACCATGGGCATCAGAATAGCAACTTCCTCTTCATTTGGGGCAAGTTCCCCATCCACATAGCTTATTATAGTACCAATCCTCTAAATTGTCTGCTAAGATAAACTGAATAGAATTAGATTTTCAGTTGCCTGGTGCTCAAGAATTATTGGGGAAGGGGATGGAGAAATGAAGTTGATGTGCAATTTCAGGCAAAGTTCAGAACATTATAAATCAGCAAAACAATATCTGTTGCAAACAATTCTCAAGGCGCTTAAATGGCACAACATACAAGTCAGTAGCTCCCGATTGAGAAACAATTACCAAGAAAATGTTCATGACTTGATCAAAAAAAAAAGTAAATTAACTGTAAGGTCATAGTGCGTGTGTCTGCTTAATATAGAGCATTGGCTTTGATACCCTTTAAGTTTGTGCAAAGCAGACACTCTGCTGTTAGGAAGGTGGAAAAAGCTGCCGTAAGGGCATGCCAATTTTTTTTTTTATTAAATTTACTTAAAGGATTAGAGTGATATGTAAGAACATTTAGTTATGTCAACATTTAAAAAAAGCTGTGGTTACCATTAGCACATGCAATTCACTGCAAAGGTAAAAACACATAATACTCTATATAAGCCTTCTATAAAGTTAGATTTGGTGGGGTAAAACACTAGAGAACTTGAAGGGTGCAGGTACAAGTAAATGGGACATAGCTAGGGTATAACAGGGAAACATACCTAATGCTAAGGGCTATATTGTAGCACTCACAAATAGCAATTTATTCTTAGAGTATATTGTTCAAAATACATATACATTAAGACTGAAGAATATTCAAATAGCCACCTTTAAAATATCCCTTTATTTCTGACATCACCTTTTGCTCATCATGTTAACAGCATTTGAGGTACCTAATTATTCAGACAAAGCTTGTGTTATAGGGATAAAAGATCTAGAACATCAATCAACATAGGCCTTAAATGCATTTTTATCATCTATCAACTTTAGTTTAACTTCATTACCCAGTTCTTTAATTACTTTGAAGGAACTTCTGACTACAAAATGCCCTTAAAAATTCAGGAACAAGTGACTAACAGAAGAGCTCATCCTGAGCTGCCTTTTTATTTTTGATGCAATGTTTACTAGAATATCATGCTAATGCACATACTCCTAGCATGTAGGATGAAAGGATAAAGTAATTCCAGGGATCTCACAATGGTGTTGGAAACTTTAGATACAAACTGGAACAAAAGTCTGTTTATAGCCTGAAAAGGACCTGAAAACTGCTGTCAAGGACCAGATCAAGGAAGAATTAGGTGGTAAGTTTACTAGTTTTAATTGCTTTTGAGACCTACGATAATGCCCAATTTTAGGCTAAACTTAAATAACTTGGCTCCATAGTCTCAATTTACAGAAAAGTGCAAAAATTTAGCATAACCTCACATGGGCAACACATAGCTAACATGATGACCTAAATCTATCCCCAAATTAAAAAAACTTTAAAAAATGTAGCTTATTTTGACATTTTACCATTTCAACAAAACTATTAAAATATGAAAGACATGGTTTAGGAAGTTCTTGAAAACAGAAAGAGAATTATGTGGATTTTAACAGAATAGAGGAGCCCTCTTGCTTGACTTGGTCAATAATATCTTAGGGAATCTATGTAATTCTACATTTTTGTCATGATTTGAACCAGGTGAGTAAAGACAAAATTTTTCTATTTGTAAAGCTATCTTACATGTTCCACTTCATTTTTTCCTTTTTAGAATCACCTTTGTTTACCGGAATGAACAGCGATTCTTTGGGCTCCACAGCACCAGGAATGTCACTGCCTCTGGGAGCAGAGGGGGGAAGAGAAGACCCCTTAGGACCAGCTGTTCCCAGTTTTCTGAGACTGACAGAGGCCAGCAAGCTCCCCAGAGAGCAGTGGGCGTGTGTTGGGAAGCTAGAACACAAGCTAAAACAAAATTCACGTCACATTTTGGGGACAGTTTAACTCATCACCTTCGCTGTGTTTAACTGGTAACACCGAACTTCACTTTGAGTGGATTTTACTGATTTAAAGTTGCATTTAAAACTTACTTTTCAGTGTGGCAGCAAAAGCACAACTGTTTGAAAATGTTGGCTCACTCGAGCCAGCTGCTTCTGGGTTGTAAGTTCTCAAATACCTTAAACCTGGTTAAAAACACAACTGTGGAAGGGCCTCCCTTGTGGCCTAGGGGTTAAGGTTCAGCGCTGCCAGCCACAGTGGCCTGAGTTCAATCCCCGGCTAGGGAGATAACCCATACACAGGGCGGCGGGCGCCTCTGCCTTGCCCGCTAGTGCCACCTAAAGGTGTCCTTGTCTACCGTCCTTCCTTCTCCCCTTCCCCCACCCTCCCTCTCCTCTTCCCCACCCTCCCTCTCCTCTTCCCCACCCCACCTCCCTGAGGTGGAGGTGCTGATGCTAGATCCTCCCCTGATGAGGATACAGCAATAGATACCTTACCCCCCCCTGCCCCCCAAAGAGTGACAAGCTATTTGATACCAGGACAGATGTTTGTCAGAGGCCCCTTGCACAATAAAAGATGACATACTTTTTGTTGTGAGCAGTGATAATCCACAAAAGAACTAGCATTACTTTATAAGGCTCAATCTATTTATATATGGACTAATTCTCAGATAAATAAACCATTCCATGCATCAAAACATTCTAAGACAAGGGGCATGCCAATTTTAATTACTGCATATTAAAACTGCATTAAATTATCCAGATTCCACTTCTCTCAGAGAACCCATTCTGACTGCATTATTCACGAAAATTATGACTATCCCAAGAAACTCAATCTTTATAAGAAAATACAAGTGGAAGGTGGAATGAAGCACAGTTGTTAAGATTGTACACCATTTTTTAACACTTCAAGCCTGGATTCTAATGGGTCACAGGAGGGTAAAGTGTCTTTGCAAATGAATATTAGTCTAAGTATATGACATTTTCTCCTGTTTTCCTGGAGTAATTTCAGGCACATCCTCTGTTAAATAAGATTTCCAGTTGTGAAGATATGAAGAGGTTGATTTAGTCAATTCAAGAGTACTATAATAACCACTTTGTGGGTAGATGAGGCATGTACAATTTGAATGAGTATACTTAGTGCTTTCAGAGTACAATGTACTTAAAGCTCAACAAAGTATCTGTGGCTGATTTGGATACATGAAATATAAGCGTTTAGTATGGGGACATTGAAAATGATTGACATATGCTTCCTAACTGCCAAAGCAATACAGTTTCATGAAATTTATAAGATGACCAGCATAAGTCACCTATTGAGGCTTTCCTGAATTGAAGTTTCACATATTCAGAGGGAGGGCCTGTTTCTTAAAAAGGAGTTAATTTTGAGGGCACAATTCAGTCATTTCTCCATTAAAAGTAAATATATCTGAAACAGTAAAATTCACCTGACTTATTCGGACATTCTTCACACATTAAACCTCACTTATCAAAAGAACCAAAGAAAAAGGAATTTGGGAAGAAAGGCAGAATAGGAAGTTGGAGGAAAGAAGAAAATGAAATATGTTCTAGGCAAAAGAAAAAAAAAATGGAATGACTAGTCTTTTCCAGAAATATACTTTCTCAAACATTTTCTCTTGGGTAGCTGAAACATGCCATTACATTGTACCTGCCAGTCATAAGTCAAATATAAATACCAGTACTCGGATGAGTATGAATCAAGGAGAAATACGGACTTAAATATTCCCTTTGCCCTTTTAAAGGTAGCAGAATCTAGAGGTTCTGGATGGACGAGTCCATCATTCTATTAGATCAGACACCTACCATTGCTCACCATCCGCCGGGCCACTTCCCACAAGACAAGTCCAAAGGCCCAAATATCAACTCTCTTGTAAGAATCAAAACAATCCACCTGGATGGTTTCATCTAGAACTTCAGGGGCCATGTAGCGTTTGGTGCCCACACGGGGGTTGTTCCCCACATCGAGCTGATTGGTGCTCTGGGAATGCATGACTGCCAAGCCTAAAAGGAAGAAGACAGAGTGTCAGTTAGTTCATTTCCTTTACAGAGGACTGCTGAAGAATTTTAAATGAACCCCAATCGAAAGCGCCCTCTTGTGGTGTCCATAGTTACTGTTGCATTACACTCTGATCTCTGGTAACTTATATTTAGACACAGAAGTCTGTTATGACTTCTATGAGAGCAGGAAAAAGGGCAAATGCCAGAAATATTCTGAATCTGTTAAGTTAATATATGAACTTCAGAGACAACATGCTTGAGTAAACAATAAACCAATGAGGCCAGTGTTAGAAGTTCACAGGAAAACAGATTCACATTAAATGGGAGACTCAAAGTGGGTTAACAAAAGCAACTTAAGCCTCAAGCGCCACCACATCTTCCACTAGACTGAACCAAAACTTCAAAAATGAGACTGAGAATTTGAGGTGACCTGTCACAGCATAAAGAACAGGCTGCTAGAGGCATTGCTCCATCCTTAAAGAAGTACTCACCTGAACATTAGTGATGACAAGATTCATCAGCCTTTCTCTACAGTCATATATAAACATTAAATTGAACTTCAATTCAAGGCATAACTCACATTAAATGACTTGGAAGCATTTCCTAAACCATGACTCCTACTCAGAATTCCTTAATCAATTAGAGGGACTTGACATTCCTCACAAACACAGGGGAGATAAACAGATATATGGACAGTTTATTTGAATAAGGAATCAGGTCTTGTGTATCTACAGACCAACTGAAAATAATTCCTGTAACACTTGAAATAATAAAAAGTACCAAACAGGAGCAAGATAGCCCTAAAAACCTGTGTAACCCAATGATCCTTTGGGAATCCTTTAAGCCACCTGTAGAGGGTACCTCTCCTCCCACTTCATGGTTTTGCACGTGCAGGACAAACACTCCACATAACTCCAGGGAGAGAGCGCATGTGTTAGCTCAGCCTGATTAGCAAAGGATCAGCAGCTGCATTTGACTAAATCAGATTGGTTTCTCTCCCTTATTTTTATGCCAACTCCAAGTTTCTATGGCCACTGTGAACATTTCTCAGATCAAATATGCCCCTCCATCATTTCCATAACCAAGAGTCAAATAACATACAAGTAGCACAGTTTAAATGGAACATGGAAATACCAGCTATGGTGGTTTAAAAATGTATCTAAGTTCACTAAAAATCCACATCCCTTGACTGTGAACTGACTGGTGAACCCTATGGCTCTATTTCTTCAGGCATTAGTCTTTTTCCCAGTGTTGCTACTGTTTCTGGCATCTGCTCTGAAACATTTTCAAAATGGATATTAAATGAAATTAGAGCATTATCAATAATTTTTAGGTATAATAAACCATACAGATGTATTTTGAAGTATTTTTAGAGGATATATTTGGAAGTATTTAGCAGTAAAGTGTTGTGATATCTGCAACTTATTTTCAAATGGGTTAGCAAATATATACAATCACAAATAGACAAAGCAAATAAAGCAATATTTTAACAGGTGTTGAATCTAAGTGTTGTGATTATGAGTGATCATTATACTATTCTTCAACTTTACTATGTGTTTGAAATTTTATAAAAAGATGGAAAAATAGAAAAGTGACACTTCTACAATATTAAGAACATAATTCTAATGAATGATGCTTAACTTCTGGGAATAAAATGGAAAATTACATGCAAGGTATGGTCTCATAGGTGCTGTCCCCTGTATCAGGGATCTAGTCCCTGACTAATGGCCCCTTAACAGATTTTTGGACGAATCCATTCAATTCATGGACAAATGGAAGGCTGCAGGCCAAAAGAAATGCACTGGAGAATGATTTAGGTGGACTTACTGCTGAACTCCTCCCACTCCCTCCCCACCGCGTCGTCGTAACTAAAGCCACGAGCTGCCTCAATTTGTCCAACTTTCCTAGATCAATGGACTGCAACAGCAGCTACTGTTGGAATGCTTATTTGCCAAGTATTTAACAATTTCTGATTCTTACAAGAATCCTATCAGGTAGACATCATTGGTGCTCAGTAACATGAGTAATATATAAACACTACATTATGAAAGTTTCAAACAACACAGTAGCGTGCAGTGTCAAACTTTGAAGGCAACCTTGCAAATCCACCCGCAATGACAGTAAGCAGGACAGCACCAGGGCAGGAAAACAATTGAAACGACCTGCACAGAAGTGCACCACTGGGTGAGTAACTAGGAAACTTAAATGATCCCAACTCGGGCCCCCCGGGTGGCGCTAGGGGTTAAGCACAGCACTATGAAGCAATTCGCAGCCTCTGCAACACGACTTTGATCCCCGGCAGGCCAGGGAGCAACCCACATGGTGCAGCAGACCTCTCCACACTCGCCCGCTGCTCCCCTCAGCAGTGTGTTTCAGTCAATCCACCTTTCTACTCCGCACTCTGTCTCTGGTGAACCCTCTTATCCCCTGCACCTCTGGCCTGTACCTCAGTTCTTATATGCATAAATAAATCAATCTTTAAAAAAAACTAAATTATTCCAATTCCAAAAGTGAAGATATAACCACAAAACTCTTCTACACCACAACGAGCTTCAGGGTCATGCCCTTTCAATGCTATCCTCAATATTTTTCTTTTGACATGTGGAAAACATTGTAAAATATTTTCTCAATATGGAACTCTGAATAAATTAAGAAAAATAAATTTTTTAACATGTCACATCACTTGTGTTTATAAACAAAAAATATTACCTATATAATTAGAGCTACCTTGTCTAAGCCTACAATGGTATAAATATAACATAAGCCGTTAGTAAATCACAGAGGGAGGATCCTCAATAGCCCACTAAAATAAATAACCAATATTGCAATTCAGTTCTCACTAGTATAATTACAGCCAATATTCTAGGGGTTTAGGATAAATATGGCATTATATCAAATGCCACTATAAATGAAAATAGTTTTATTTATAATATAATTAAGGCCACAGTACGCATTATTACTCTAACACCAGAACCATGTGATATTCGTGCAGGATAAATGAGTTAGGGGTATTTTTTCTCTCTTTTATTTATTTATTTTTTTAAGAGGCATGTTTTATTTATTTATTTGTTTGTTTGTTTTGTTTATACATGCACTGGGTACAGTCAGAAGCGCGGGAGGGTGAGAGAATTCACCAGAGCCAGAGTGGGGAGCAGAACGGGCAGCAGGAGAGCTCTGTGCGCCATGCGGGACCCTCCTCCAGTGGCCGGGGAGCAGCCGGGGATCGAACCGGCGCTGCAGAGGCTGCGGGCAGCTTCGCAACCCAGCGCTCAACCGCTGCGCCACCGGGGAGGCCCTTTTCTCTCTTTCTTGATGGATGATTTTGCCTTTGCTATAGAAGAACTTTAGAAACCACCTTTAAGAGTAACTCTCATTCGGTAAGTCATATGGACCTACTTTGTGCAAAGGTTTATGAAATCAGAATGCAACCGCACTAGTCACTTCTAAGGGTGGACTGACTGAACAATCATGATGTAGTAACTTCTACTGACAGCTTCCTGGGAAGGTCTGTATCTCAGCAAGGATGGAGTTTATGGATTTGTCAAAAACACTTGAGACTGTATACCTAAAATTTGTGTCTTTCATCATCATGAAAAGAAAGTAAACGAACTCAGACAACATAGTATTCTGCATACGGACGTCCTTGGAGAGAAGAGCTTTTTTGTCTACAATTTACTCTGAAATAGTGAATGGTTTATCAGCAAATAGGATAATTTATCACATAATTGTGATAAAGTGTAAGAATATTAAAATGTCAGTGAGAGAATCTAAGTGCTTGGGTACACAGTTGTTTACTATGAAGTTCTTTCAGCTTATCTACATGTTTGAAAATTTTCATAGCAAAATGTTGGGATGTGGGTGATGAAAAGGAAGAAATCTGATAAACATCAGACTATAACAAACAAAAATGATCATTAAATAATATTTTTAAAAATTTACCCAAATCTGCAATGCAACACTGTCCATTCTTCTTAACTAGGATGTTTTTGCTCTTTAAATCTCGATGAGCGATGGCTGGTTTCCCTTGGGTCCCAAATATTTCTATGTGCAAATGTGCCAGACCACTAGCTATAGACAGAACTATTCGCAGGCAGCTAACTGTATCCAAGGTAGTAAGCTGAAGATAGTCGTACAGTGATCCCATTTCATGATAATGTGTGATTAACCACAACTGGGTACTGGAGTGTCTTGATGTCATATCTGAAGCAATGAAACCTGGAAAGAGCAAGAACAAAATTAACAAACATGAAAATCCCTCAGTGCAATTTTTAGTAGGCAGAAACAGTGACCCATACAGTAAACATCATCTATAGCCAAAAATTACCAATTACTATGAAAAGTGATTTACAGAGGAAAAAACTAATATTCCTGAAAAGACACTGCTAATTAACAGGAAAATTTCACATTCATTTCCATTATAAAGTAATCCATTAAAAAATAGTTTCATTGCATGAAGATTTAGATAGGAGGGCCTCCTGGTGACACAGTGGGTTGAGCGCAGCGCTGTGAGGCTGTCCACACCCTCTGCAGCATGGGTTTGATTCCCGGCAGGCCATGGAGATACCCACATGGCGTGGCAGACATCTCCTGCCTCATCTGTTGCTCCCCTCAGCAGTGCTTTCAGTCTGTCTGCCTGTTCTACTCCCAGCTCTAACTGGTGAATCCTCTCACCCTCCCGTGCCTCTGGCCTGTACCCCAGGTCTTGTATAAATAAATCTTTAAAAAAAAAGATCTAGATAGGAATATCATCTTTCTGCTTACCCATAATAAGGCCAAGCTCTTCACTGTATTTTGACAGTCCAAGCACAATTATTCACCAACCATACAAAACAAAACAAAACCTAAAACCCAGATATCTGTATTCTAGTCCTGACTTTGCCTGTGATTATCTCTGTAACATTGAGTAACTCTCATATGCTCTCTGGACTATGTCCATTCAGATATAAAATAGTTTATATTAAATAATCGACTAATTCATCAAATAAGGAGCCAATCAAATATAACAAGTACTGATAATGCACCGTAAGCCACACAGGAAAACCAAGATAATGCTGCTAGAGAAAAAGACAGATATAAAAAGGAGAAAATTGTAATATGAGAAATAAAGTCATGTATATCTGTAAATGGCAATACAAGCCCAGAGTAGGGAATCATAATTCAGATCCAATGATTTAACAGGCTGCATTAGGAAGTGATGACTGAGCTGGTCTGAAAAGGAGTGTGATATTAACTGATACAAAGAAGTAGGAAGAGATTTTTCTAGACATTCTGTGAGGGGACATATGAGGTGACCGAAAAAACTTCGAACTTCCAAACCTATGAAATAAATTGTGGTAACTGTGTACTCTTCTGCTACAGAGGTGCGTTCCTAGCATTGCACATGCACACACACACACACACATGGATACATACATACACATAAACTTATGGACAGTGAAGTTTGAGACATAAATAGAAGAGAAAATTTTTCTCAAAAGATAGATGTGACTTAAGAATTACATGACTTGTGAAAGTGTAAAATAAAAAGAAAATACATAAAAATGCCTTGCATTTGCATAGTCCTTTATATAAAACTTATGTCACTTTTACATACATTTACTGATGGGATTTTTTTTCTCAGAAGACCAGTAAGATAAATATCGTTATACTCATTTTACAAAAAAATAAAATTGCTGCTAGGAGATGCCAAGGATCACTTAGCTATTAAGTTGCAACCGATGCCAAGTTTTGTACTAGCTTCCTATGCACACCTTGCATAGGAAGATTCTGAAATAGAGAAGGATCCCCTATTTGATCATCACCATCAACAGTGGAAGTGTTTATTAGAGTACTAGCAACGTGCCTGGCACTTCACATGCATTCTTTGTAATACATGAAGGAAATGATCAGTAATGGTTCTGACAGTTTGGTTCCAGAACCATGCTCTTTCCCCATAATACCACATGGCCCCCCAAACAAGCTGACTTCCGCTCAGAGAGTTTGACATCTGTATCATAGGACATCTGCAAAATGAACTGAGTAACATTTCCAAGCCTTGATCCCCTGCCACTGAGCCAGGGCCGACAGCTGCCTAAGTCCCTCACTTCTCCCCTCTTCTCCAGTCTGATTTTGGCTCCCCAGAGCTATTACTCCTGGAGTCCTTAGCTGGCCATGATATGAATCAAAATGTGTATTTAGAGATTAGTTATTCTTGCTCAAGAAAATGTTCCTGCACCATCATTTTAAACCAAACGATGTTAATCTTTAATGGCTTTCTCAAAAATAAATATTTCAAACTATAAAAGAACCACTCAACAGAAATTAAATTACTGTTCTATATTTGTGTAGCCTCTACTGATTTCTCTAACCAAGGGAGAACAGCGAATGAATGAATGAATGAAAATGAACAAAGGAAGGAAGAAATTTTTCTTCTCACACCATCCCTAAACCCCCTATGTCTTAGAGAAGGATTTGTCTGTCCGATTAATTATGCTCTAGAACTTCAGAAAAAATGACATTTAAACAAGCAGGATTTTTCTTAACTGTTTCTCAAGTGTGAATTATATAATTACATTTGCTTCAAAGAGCTAGAGCATTTTTATACGATTTTTGCATTTTGAGTCAAAGCACTCTGCTGTTAATGGAGATTTGACAGGTGTGCCTATACTTTGGAACCATGGCACAGCTCTGGAATGTGTTTCTAACAAGGACAGAACGTGATTGGGACAAAAGACCCTTATTTCACCACCAAAGTCATCCTCCCAGGCTTTTCTTGAGCTAAAATAAAACCCCAAATCTTCAGGTGATCAGTGCCTCGGTGAGCCCCTTAATGGTGACTCCTGGGATCTAGACACCGAGTGGCTGTGACAGCTAAGGACTGAGGCCACACACAGGGGCAGAGCACAGTGGTGAGCAGCTCAGGCCCCAGAGCTGGACCACTGGGTTTCTGTCCTGGCTCCACCATCCCTGAGCTCAATGATCCCACCAGGCCATCTCCACCTCAGCTCCTCATTTATAAGAGAACATAACATCGTATCTCAAAGGGCTACTGTGAGAAGAAAAGAGTTATATATGCAAAGTGCTTCAAAGATGCCTAACACATAGGAGGTGTTCAAGATTAGCTGGCCATTATTATATTTTAAAATAGCCCAGGGTCCAATAAAACCACACTAATTTCGTAATTTACTATCTTTTGCAGATAGTTTCCTTTACTTCCAATCGCTCTCAAGAAATTCTGACTGACTAAACAGTTAGGCAGTACATTTTAAGTACATGAGATAGTTCTGGAAATGGATGGTGGTAATGGCTGTGTAGTGTGGATGTACTTCATATCACTGAACTGTACACTTAGTGTGGCTAAAATGGTGAATTTTATATTATGTATATTTTACCACAATTTTTTTTTTAAAAAAAAGAATGCTAGGGGCCTCCCTTGGTGGCACAGTGGTTAAGCACTGGGCTGTGGGGCTGCCCACAGCCTCTGCAGCACCAGTTCATTCCCCGGCCGCCGGCGAGGGTCCCACGGAAAAAAAAAAAAAAAAAAAAAAAAAAAGAATGCCAAATAAGACTCCTGAGTGAAATGCTCATATTAACTCTTTTTCCCTGTCTTAGTGATGAGGAAAAGTATGCTTAGAAACATGCAACACTGGGGCCTCCCTGGTGGCGTGGGGGTTAAAGATAGCACTATCAAGCTATCGCCAGCCACTGAAGCACAAGTTCGATCCCCAGCCGGCCAGAGAGCTACCCACACGGTGCAGCAGACCTCTCCTGTCTCCCCTGGTACTCCCCTCAGCAGTGTATTTCAGTGCATCTGCCTGTTCTGCTCCACACTCTGTCTCTGGTGAATCCTCTCATCCCCCTGCACCTCTGGCCTGTAACCCTGGTTCTCAGAGGTGCTGAGAGTAGAAACCAATTTTCCAAACTCCCAGACCACTGTTCCTATCACCATACAACAGAGCTTCCCATTTCTCACTTATCTGTTTACTTCTATGCCAGACAGCAGAAAGAAGAGTCGAAATCCAAGCTAGTCCATTTGAACAATGTTGCTTTACAAATTTAATTAGAGGGATAAGCCATGAGGGACCAGAGTTTTACATTTTCTATGTATGTATATGTGTATGTATATATGTCTGTGTATATATATACACATATATAATATGTATGTATGTGCATAGATGATTTAATTATGTATTTTGAGGGGCTAGAGTTGGCAACACTCAAGGATGGGGGAAATCATGATCTGATATTCAAAACACAATATGCTCCTTTGAAAGAAAAGAAAATGATCACAGAAAACCTTAAAGTTTCTAAATCTAGAAAACTGGTAAAGCAGGGAAAGAAGCTTAACAAAAAGGGCAATGCATTTCTACCGGCTTCCTCAACTAAAAGAGCTACATGTAACCTCAGTCCCATGGCGGAATTATGATGTGGGTAGAAAGACCTCATACACTCAGAATGTCCTTGGATCACTACACAGTTAAAAAAAAAAATGGGCAAGGTTTTGCCCTATGTGCTCACACCAAGGAAACCTTACTTGAATCGTATTGCAATGGTGACTTTCAACTTTCCCTTGTGATTAAATCAAATTCAGTAAATATTTACTGAGCACTTACCATATGCAGGATATCGTGTGACTGCAAAACAAGATAACCAATTCTTTTTCCTCAGTGTACAGAGGTTGTCTCACAGGTCGTTTCACTCAAGAACATGGAAAAAGTGACTATGTGCATATTGTGTCAATACCTAGAGCATTTCGCTCCAGGAGCCTGCGAATCCCTGAGTATGAGAGGGTGCCTGAACAAGCCCTTCCTTCAATGAGTCTCAGATCTCACAAGCTTCTTAAAGTATGTGCACCTGCCCATTAAGAGTAATTCTGGTGTTTAAAGTAAGTACTACTTATACAGCAAGGCTTCTCACACAACAATGCCTTATTTGCTGCTCAGTCTCAAAGTGTTCCAGCGTCAGAGGAAAAAAATGAGACATTCCAGGGTAATTTTGAATTTTCATATCATCCCGATTCTAGACTCTAAGGCATAACTGCACCTCTATATGACCATGTAGAACTGCAAGGAAATGTACAGAACCATGGCTAAGTATTAGATGACCAGATGTCATTCTCACTTCCATTATTTAATCTGCTGGGTGATGTTAACTTCTGCTGGTAAGAATCTTCTTAGTATGTAGCTGTTATTCTTGTCACTTTCCATCATGCATGCATATAACTGCAACACAGGCAGTGTGGGATAAGAGCAGAGATACACAGTGAGAGTGTGACATGCTCAATTAAGTCCACAGGAAAAAGTAGAAGGAAAATGAGAAGGTTTAATGGAGGAACGGTGGCTGGAGGGTGGGCTGGGGATACTGGGTGATCAAGAACAACATAAACAAAGACTTGGAAACCTGAATATGTAGGACAATCCCAAGAAGTGGCAAAGACTGGCAGTGGCTACATTGGGCACAGGTGTAGAGGAAGCTCCAGAGACACCTTGGGATCAGGGAGTCTGGAATGCCAGGCCAGAAGTCACAAATGCTACAGGCAACATGGGAGTCATCAGTGACACTTTGAACAGAAGAATCTCAGCTCCCAGTGGGAGATAACTCGATGTAACAAGATGGATCAAAAGGGAGAGCCCAACAGCAACCATACAAGTGAACAAGATTAGTGAGAGGCGGACCCAAGGGGGAAGGGAAGAAATCAGCAGCAACTGAGAGACTTCTAAGATGGAGCACACCACCATAGTGTTAAAGCAAAGCTTTGGAAAACTGTCAAACCATTATTTGCAGACATTGACTCAGGTTTAATACTAAATATGGCAATAGTAGAATAGAAATAATTCTGGCAACAGCCTCCTATAAGCCAGGCCTAATCCAATAGCCATGAAGCGGCCAAAGCTCTCCTATACAATATCCAATTTTTAAAGAGACTCTCTGTCCACTATTAAAGAAGCAGTGTGGGCAGCATTCATCTATATGTATTAATATAAACACATTTACAGAAATTTTCAAAAATACAGAAGTCAGTGGGTACACGAAAAGCCTCACCCTTTTGCTTCCATAGCTGTATTTCAATGGGCTCTTCACATATTTCACAAATGTTTCCAAGCTTTAGTTTCCAAATTAAAATGTATGCTAAATCCCTCTGAAAATCTGGGCTTTAAAAAACTATGCCTAGTTTAAGGGAATGTGCATTTAATTATGATGTCCCTGGGAGCTGTGAATCTCTAGGAAATCATCCAAAGATCGTTCTTAGTTTGATTCAAGTAATAAATATTCAAAAAGGATGGGGTAAGTAGAACAACCAACGGAGCCTTGAAGTGAACAATATGGGGCAAATTTTTGTTTTAAAATAAAGACCTCCAGAATAAGAATTAGCAATAACAATTTCCTTCTCATCATCCAGAGAATCTTAAAACTTAGCTTATTTGCCAATTTAAACAATTAGTGTCCAAGTGAAATTAGGCAGTGTATAAAAGCTGATGATGCCTCTATCACTTTCCTGGAGAGATTCTCTAGTTCACACACACGAAATCAGAGGGCAAAGGCAGGCACTTATTTCTTTCTAAATACAATAAATGAGGGGGTTAATCCTCATACTTACCTAAAATGTTTTCATGCCTCAGCATCACAGTGTTGTACAATTCTGTTTCCCTGAACCACGACTTCTCATCCCTGGAGGAAAAGATCTTCACGGCGACATTCTCCCCCTGCCAGCTGCCCCTCCACACCTCACCATACCTGCCTTTCCCTGTGGAAAGCAACACAAAGGTGACTAGACAGCAGGTGCAGGAGAGATAGTCCATAAACTTCAGGCCTGCAATCTTCATCCACCCAGTGCTTATTCTGAAAAACTCAGTGCAGGGACATAAATACCACAACCTTTTACCTGTAAAGATACTCAAATTTAAGGTAGAACCTGCCCTTTCTACCCACCCCACTGTGATAATAAAATACCTTCCCTCGGTATCTGCATCATACAACTTACTGCTAATTACAATGTTTACATTTAAATTTCTTCACTAAAAGGTGCAGAGCACATAAGATTTTTAAAAGCCCAAGAAAGTAAAATTTGTTAAAACACTGAATAGCTTACTTGATTCCGCCCCTTCATACAGGGTCAACATCAGTGTTTTCTCAGAGCCCAGATTTGTGAATTTGCATCTCTACATTTTACAAAGGATACTACTAGGTTTGAGGTTCATGTTCTGAGTGATTTTACAAAACACAAAGGCTGTGAAGAGATGGACAGGCAGCCGCTGCTGTCACAAAAGGATTTCTTGGAAAGGATTTTTGGCAGAGGATATATTTCAAACTCAGAAGATCTGCAGTCTTAAACATATAATCCCAGAACAGTTCTGATTTCTGACAATGGCGGTGGGTCTCTGCTTGTTAGACAGTCCCTGTGATGCCACAAGTGGCCACCTGGAGAAGCTAGTTTTCAAACAGTGCAGACTCCAGTGGTGAGTGGATCTGGCTGGGGATGTGCCCCTCCTGCAGTGGCAACAAAACTGTCAGCTTGTCAACTGTATGCTCCCTCTTCCGTTCTTCTCTTTAATTATAGGTAGGGGTGATCAGGGAGGTTGGGAGGAGGTAATTACCACGAGACTATGGGGATCAACATGGGGTGTAATTAAGGGTAAAGACATACTCGGCACCTAGATAATGATGCAGCAGGAGCCGCACTTGGTGGGCAGTGGGTCTCTTCTACCAAAGCAAGTGGCTGCTGGGAATCACAGCTTGTAATAAGCAGCTGCAGCACCATCTGCATCTACAGGAGCACAGCTCTCTGCTGAAAAACTAAGCCACTGAGAACCCAAACATGAAGAGAGAAGGCATGTCTAAGCAGGTGACTCACCTGAAATAGAATCAAAACCGCTCAATCTAGAGCCCCTTAGAGCAACACTGTTCCTATTAAATACAATGACTAAACCAAAAGGAAATGTGGCAAGAAAGTGGTCATCGTGGGCTGCTGTCAGGTTACAAAAATACAATTTAGTGCGGGGTTAATTTTTTAAAAGTCGTAGCCTTGGCCCAGCATTTGTAGTTCAAGATGAAAGCTAGTGCTAAGATACTATAAAATCGGCTGCTAAAAGAATAATATGCTAATCTTTCCCTGCCTTTGATCCCATCTATCTTTATTTGCCCTTTGGCTTCACAGTCTCATTAGGAAAGAGAGAAAAATATCCCAAAGACTTTGTTGACACTGCTATAAAGTTGCCTTAAGAAAACAGACATGGATATCAGGCTGAGTAAATAAAATTAAAGTAGAAACCTATTTCAATGTTTTCAAAAGCTTTTCAGTTGTCAAGTGCTTTTTAAAAATGCAACCTTTAGCTCAATTCCCCTAAAAACAGAAGGAGGGGGCCTCCCCTGGTGGCACAGCGGTTGAGCGCTGGGTTGTGAGGCTGCCCGCAGCCTTTGCAGCGCCAGTTCGATCCCTGCCCACTGGCGAGGGTCCCACAAAAAAAAAAAAAAAAAAAACCACACAGAAGGAGAGCTGCCCAAAGGCCCCAGTGATGGAGCCCTTTATAAAGCAGATCATTAATGTACCTAAAAATCGAGTTTTGTTTATCATCTGGAAATGACATATTTAGTCCAATTTCCCACATTTTGAACCTAAAATAATACACTAAGTCATCATTGCCTGTATCTTAATGAAGGCTGGACTACATGGACATGAAGAATTATTACTTCTATTAATATAAATACACCATTAAACCAACAAAATACTATAATTAAATTTATACTATTTCCCAAAATGCCAAAGAACAGCTACACAAACAAAACCGGTGTACATTTTTCAAGGTGCAATATTATTTTGCCTTTGGACTTGGGGTCAATCTTTGAGGACTGATCCTGAGATTGTGTGTTGCTCTGCCAACAGTGAGTGGCCATGAAACATGAAGGTGGGGTAAGCGAGACGGAGACATGTCCTCTTCACTGCCTTCTATCTACTGTCCAGGTACCCTTATTATTCGTAATCAAATAGGATGCTCGTTGGTACAACAGGACAGCCCTGATGGGATGCAATGAACACATGTGGGGCTGTTTCATTGTTATTTTCTCTACTCGCAATCTACTATGGAGGAAAACCGTGAGGGGGTGTTTAGAAACATCACAGTAACTAGAGATCTAGAAAAACGGCAACAGGATCCTGTCAGATGTCTGTCTGCTCCTGTGGCAGATGCTGCTCGTATCACCTCTGTCTGCACCTCTCTCCACTATGGGGTTTCATAATGTCCTTGTTTTCAATGAAAACAGGAAGAAAAGTTGAAGGATTGATATCCAATGGCAGAATAGCTTATGACAGCCAGACACCTGGCAAAAATTCAAAGTCCAGCCCAAAGAAACCTGGAGAACTGGGAGGAGGGTGTAAAGAGGCTGCCGACCCATTATTGCTACGGTAGCCATCCCTGTATGCCACCTAACACAGAAATTAATGGAAGCTATCATGTCACTTGCAAATACCTAAGACATACAAATTAGGATTTCAAAAACATTTTGTACCATCTTAGAAGGCAGCCCAGCAATATATAAAAGAAGTCATTAATAAAATAACAAATTTTAACCCAGGGGACCCAATTCCTGGGAATTTATTCTGAGCACTCAAAAGAAATGAGCAATGCATGCACAAACTTTTTCAAGTAGTATTGTTAAAGTTATTCAACAGACTGTGTACACAATCTTTTAAATTAATTGTGATGCATACAAATACATGGAAATGTGTATGAGCTTAAAACTGAAAAAAGGGGACACAAGTTATATACATACTGTGATTACATCTACATATAAATGTGCTCATATATGGGAAAATATGAGAGGCCACAGAGAAATGTATATAGATGGTGTTTAAATAAAGCAGTTATAAAGTTAGCTTTGGTACAGTTGGTTTCATTATTTTGAAAGGCAGGAAAAGAGAGTGATTACAGGATTGCAAAAAACACGCCTATTGTCCAAAAGTCTACTTACCTCTAATCTTTCAATATAGAGAGTTAGGAGCAACCATGTTAATTCAGTTTTCAAGCACGCCTATCACCCCAAAGAGTCTACTTGTAAATGAGAGCTTTTGACTGACTAGGCATTCTCTATCCTAACTAGTGACACATTCCTCTGATAAGAACTTCAACAAGTTCAGGTGCTCCGACGGGAGTCACACCACATACATAAACCACATGGCTACTACATAGCTTCTGACATTTAACACGCAGCAGACAAGAAGAAGCAGGGTTTTCAAATTCCCCACATTTAGAACCACAACTTATAGTGCAGACAGCCCAGCAAGAAAAGGGGAAAAAATTACCAACACACTCCAACAGCGTAATCTGACGAGCCACTGTTCTTTGTACCAGAAAGGGAAGACCAGAGCCACTTCCTGATGTGCACGAATGATCCAGTAAGTCCTGTGGTTTAAAATAAGGGGGAAACAAAACAATAAGGAAAGGTCCCAGTTCAGAGTGTGAGCATGCATGTCGCTGACCTTGCACAGATGTGTGCGTGAAAGCCTCCCTGCACAAAGGATTTGCTTTATTTTCTAGGAAGACCAGAAGCTAGCCCCAATACATAAATTTTCCTGAGGGATTAGTCCTTTCTTGCACCAGGAGTTTTAGAACAAAATAAATAATGAAATAAGTTGAGCGGATGAATCAGAAGAGGCAAATCAGAAAGACAGTACAAATGCTAAGCACAGGGGAGCAACAGAAAGATGAAGAAATGGAGCAAAAAGGGGAAAAGGCCTTCAATTCCATCAGCTGCTGTAATTTACCACCTTCCGCTCTGCTCTTAAATATCTAAGGATCCACCTCTGTTGGTATAGCAACTAAGGAACTCCAGTAAGGAATAAACAAACTAGGAATAAGGAGCAAGCACCTCTAATGTTGTTTGCACTGGAGAGCTACCAGTGGGGGATACTCAGCAGAGAGGGCCTACCTGGATGGAGTTCCTTTTTAGGTGGGTGAGGAACATAACAGTCACAAAATTGACACCTATGCGTCATTTCTTGATGTGAATTAATCACAAATTAGAGGGAAAAAATAAAACTTTCATTAAAAATAGAAAACCATACCCTACATCTACCGTCAAAAAAGGGGGACATATTATGAAAAAGATTCCCAGTTAGTTCATTTAAAATTTTTTTCTTCTTTTTCTCAGTACAAGCATAGACGTCTTTTAGTATTAAGAATGGATTGTCTATCGTTCTGCAGCGGGGAAGAAGGGAGTAGGATCAAAACAGGGGTGGGAAGAGCACAAGGGACTATAGTGATGGTTCACGGTGGAATTGGTGGTGGGAATTTCACGGAGACTATAACCGAGATGAGAAAAAGCATACATTGTACAAAAATGAAGAATGATGTATAAAATAGACATAAAATTAAAAAAAAGAATGATTGTCTATAACAAAACATCACTGTGCCCATGGTGATGGTAAGGCTGCAGGAGTGTTGAGCTACTGTTAGGGGGGAAAGGATGTCCTGAGTTAATCCCATACAGGCTTTGTGGACCCCACCCCCACTCCAGACTAAAGCCATCAAGACATTGGGAAAGACAAATCCCATCACCACCAAAGGGAGGGTGGCTGGGACCTGAGGGTGGAGTTGGGCAGCCAGTTTGGATATAAAAACCAAACACGTGGGCCTTGGCCTCTCGCTGGCTCACGATCGCTCACCTCCTGGCTTCACCGCTCCTGGCTGGCGGCCAACTGAGAGCGCCATTTTGGGATTCCTAATCGGCGGATCAGGTAGGACTCATTTAAAACTTTGTCTCCCACTTTTCTCCCAGAGCTGTACATTTCCTCATTTCCCCTTCCCTTGTAAATAAACCTTTTATGAACCTTTCACGTGTGCCTGCAGTAGAACATTGATAAGTCCTTTTAAGCGCGCGGGTGAGGACCCACAGTCAGGCACCCCGTTTTGTATCGGGGTTGCTCTACAACACTACCATTTCCCAAAGCTTGTCCTCTCCCAAACATTTTAGCTGGCCAGTTAGCGCAATACATTGATTTGTTTGAATTTCATCTTCTTTTGCTTCCTCTGAGCACCACTGAGAAATACTGCTGATCAGCAAAATTATCAAATGGAAGAAATTTAGAATCCTTAAAAATCACAAAATGGATAATCAACAAGAAACTGAATGTAGATGAAAGTTTCAAATCTCCCTAACCATTCTCTTTTGCCATTCTTCTTTCTCTTCAATTTTTTTTTTTTTTTGAGAGACTCAGTCTGAAAATTAAATTAATGCGCTGTTCTTTCATAATATATAATTCTGGGTCTACACCAAGTTCAGAGACTTGAAAGAGAGGAAGAAGGGGCCCCCTAAGACTAACATCTACATCAACTTCTGGATCACAGAGACTTCTTTTTTATTGTAGGAGGACTATCTGCTAAGGTTTGCCTTGCTGAATCATAGACACGAACCTATTCAATAATCAAGTACGTAAACCAATACTGATGATTTGTTTTAAACAGTATTCTTTACTGTGTGGTTATATCATGATACACTATGATCTAACATGGCCAAATTACACTGGCGTATACTCCATTCCATTTTCAAAATTACAGAAGCTATTTAAACAGTAATTTACACTGGACAGTCCTAGCATTGCCCGTGGAAATTAGTTATGTTAGCCATTTTGAGGAATGAAGTTCTGACTAATCTATTTTAGAATCTTGCTTTGCCTGTGTCAAAATTCAGTCTCATGTCTTTCTGTGAACTCAATAAATTCACTTAATCTTCCTTAAAACTTAAAATCAGCTCTAAAGTACATTTCTACCATTAAAAAAAAAAAGCATTTCTCTGCTTTTGGAAACAGAAATGTCCTTGCATCTTCTTTTCTCAGTTTTGCTATGCCACAAACAGGCAGGTTAAAGGAAGGTACACATGGTTGCTTCCCCTTTTTTCAAACCAAAAAGAACCCTTGAGCAGAGGCCCAGTAATGGAGAAGGGGGGAGGACGGGGTATTTCCTTGACTCTATCAGTCACCACCAAATGTAGCGGCCCGCCCGGGGCTGATTCAGGTGTTCCACCTGGACTTTCAGGACTGGTAGGGCAAGTGTCCAGCAAGAGGGGAACTGAGGGGCAGGATTAATTACAGAACTACCACACTTTTAAGCTCCTTATCTAGTAGACCAGGACTCAACACTGGCGATCTATGTGATACATGTCACAGCATGAAATAACATGAAATCATTTAGAAAGTTCTTGTCTTGATTTATCTTTGAACTCATCAGATTGTGACAAGGACAGAGTCTTGATTTGGTACTGGCAGGTCTTTAGCACCTCTCCTGCACTCCCTGATCTCTGCCTTTTCCAGAGTCGGCATCAAACTCAGTACACTATCCCTTTAGAATGGTATTACTTTTCTCTTTAGCACTTTATGGTAAAGTTTAAAGTTTCTTTAAAATTAACACTTGACAGTTTTAAGAAGTATAAAAAAAAAAAAGGAAGACAGTCATTTTTTAAATGTGATTTCATCATTTTAAAATCTGCAAGAGTAATTTTTAAAGGTGTGAATACAATGATTTATAACCCCGTGCTTTCCATTAGGGTAGCTACTAGCCATATGTTGATACTGAGAAATGAAATGTTGCTGGTCTGAAGTGATAAACACTCTAAGCGCAAAATACACACCAGATTTTGAAAACTTAGTTCAAAAAAAAAAAAAAACCACAAAACTATTTCATTAATTATGTTTATATGTTGAAATGTTATGTGTATGTTAAATACATTGCTAAAATTAAAATTACCTGGGGTTTTTTGTAAATTTTTCCTTTAAGGTGGGTAGTAAAAAATTTTAAATTTCCTGTGTGGTACACACATTTCTATTGGCCCACACTGGCTCTACCAAATAACTGCACTCCACAAGGGGGCAGCACAGGAGCATGAAAAATTTAATAGCTGCTTTTTTGGATGTCAAATTTTAAAGTCTTCAATAACAGGGTGTTAAATTAATCTAAAGAAAGTAATTTTTAATATTAAGCAAAAGCACTGAAATGGCACTTATACTGCTAAAATTAGAGTACCATAAACTCCAAGTAACCCCAAATGATAGGCAACTATTCTCTATTCCTTTTTACTTCCCAAAGAAAAATAACTTCCAAGTAGCTACTAAAATAAATTCAGAACACCATTTAATGAAATGTCAGTCTAAAATCAGTGTCCTCACATAGGAGAGACTAGCCAGGTACCAGCATGTTTGCTGAGGACTAAGTGACCAGCGGTATCTGTACACACTGCCCAGTTATTGGTTAGCAACTGATGCTTGAAATAAGGCATCTTCAGCCATCTACACAATGCCTACAATTCCCAGCAGTCACAAACTCACTGCTAAAGTGCTGTCTCCAACATTGGTGGTGATGAGCCCTTCGATGGTGCCATATTCCACATCTCTGGGATTGAGTCGTTCCTGGTTGCGCCTCTTAAATTTTCGGAGAGCAACTCCCAGTAGGCAAGCTAGAAGGCATACTGCAAACACTACGGACAGAATAATGAGGCCGACCTCCAAGTGAAAATTCTGTGTTCCAGGAAAGGATTTCCCTGGAGATGAGGGGAAAAAAAATAATTGGCTATAAGCATCATTGTTTACTTATTATGGAAGCATAACCAATATCCTAATTAAGTTGTTCCTGATCCTGACCACAGAGTCTCACAAGTCACAAAGTGTTAAAACTAAAATACTTCCTAACACCTGGCTGATGGCACAGTCTTTTAACCATGATTCATTTAGACACAAGTGGAGTTTGAAAACTGCCACTGAGAACCAACCATATTAATGCATATATGTGAAACTGCTTTTAAAATATATTGTACTGGGCCTCCCCTGGTGGCGCAGTGGTTGAGCGCTGGGCTGCAAAGCTGCCCGCAGCCTTCGCAGCAGCGGTTCAATCCCCGGCCACCGGCGAGGGTCCCACATGGCGCGACAGACCTCTCCTGCCATGCCCGCTGCTCCCCTCAGCAGTGTATTTCGTCAGTCTGCCTGTTCTGTCCCCCACTCTGGCTCTGGTGAATCCTCTCACCCTCCTGTGCTTCTGACTGTACCCAGTGCTTGTATAAATAAACAAATAAATAAATAAATAAGTTTTAAAAAAAAAAAATAAAAAAAAAATAAAATATATTGTACTATACAAATCTCTGGTACTTCATTTTTTTACTTGAATTTGATCTAGAAGGATATTTATGATCAAGCCCTTATAGGCAGACATTATGTTGTGCTATTTTTGTGAGAAATTGCGATCCGAGTTAAAACCAATGTATCTATCCAATCTCTCATCTCGTCAATGTATCTTGGATGTGCATTGCTGAATTCTCACTGGTCTCTTTACATCATGATTTCTGCCTAGGAACCTATTTGGTTCATCTGTTCCTTTACTTACTTAATATTCATTCACTCAAAACATTCACTTAACAATTCATTCACTCTCCTAATCACTCATTCACTCTGTTCACACATTATTTTGCCCATTTAAACATTTACTTAACACTCACATGTCACTCAAGCAAATATTCAAATACTTTCCAGTTGTCCAGTGAGCTAAATCAAAAGTGAAGATCCATAATTAAAAGATCCCCAAACAATAATCGTCTCTGAATTGCCCACCCCTTCAGGACACCAGGTCACTCAGCACAGTTCTCCACCCATTTGTCTTAGTCTTTTCCACATTCCTCACTCCTTCAACCATCTTATCTCAAACTTAAGTTTCTTTGCATATTTGTTTTAACTTCCCAAATCCAAATGAATCAATGGCTTGACAGGTAACACTACACAGTACATACTGTTTGTACTATAAAGTGTAAAACTAATTATATACAACATTAAATTATAGTTTGCTTAATTAAATTAAATCCCTTCAGTTAAAAAAAACACAAATTTTCTATTATAACTCAGAATCTAGCAGAGGGTTCTGCCAATTAAGAGCTTTTCAAACTGCACATGTAATCTGTGTGTCAATCGAGACATTTCTTCATGTCCGTCTACTCTAGAAATAACAATTTAACACATGAAGTTCAAGAGTAAAATTTATTCCATCAAATACCCTTTCAACTACTTGAATACTTGATCTCTCTTTTTAAGATCTTCTTTTGTTATTAAATCCTATTCGTGGATCAGAATTAAACCTTTTCTATATGCCTTGAGGTCACCACCGTAACTTCAAAAATTGCTGTTAACATGACCCTGTGTCAGTAATTTTTCATTTTCAGTCTCCTCCCTTGCTGGCTGATCTTTGTGGCATTGGCTGTACCTATCAGTCTTTTTTGCTCCACTTTTTGGGTTGTTTCTTCCTTCTGAGTACAAAATTGATAGCTACACCTATTAAAAATGTGCTGGTAGACAGAAAGTAATTTGACCTGGAGTGAATCTACATTAATATTTGTGGGGTCTTTGTGATATGATTTAGGGCTCATTGGATGGGAGAAGAATTTCAGAGGAAGACCAATTTTCACAGGACATGGCATCCATATCAAGTACAATATGGAGAAGATTCCACAAAATCAACAAAGTTCATGAGAAATCTCATCTATCTGCAAGTTGAAGTTATAAATCGCTAGAAGTCAAATATGGGACATCAGGCTAGTGAGTCTTCATCTTCTTCCTCAAAAGGAAGAAAAGGAATTGGCATTCCATTTAGGTACTGAAGTCTTATGTTACATATTCCTCCTTTACACACTCGAAAGAGAAATGAGTATTTAAGCAGAATTATTTCATAACATATGATTGACTCCATAACAGAAAAGGGTACTGGAAGCTGTTCACCTGCTTAAGACACCCAAGAGGAATCTGGTCAGCCAAGCCAACCCTAAGGGGGTCACCATCATGCTCAACTTTCTGAAAAATATCCATCCTTCTCAAATGTCAAAAGATCATGCCTTTCTCTTCCTTACATAGAACTATCTTCCTTGGTACCACTGCCTCTGGTTTAAAGAGGAGAAGGAAAGCCTCGTGGCTACTCCCATCTTTCACCTACACTGAATCAGGACAACACTAACAAAACTCTTGATCTAGAAAAAGAAAAGTCCATGGGAACCTTTAGTGGGCAGCTGAGCCGTGATGTTCCTGTTACACCAGTCCCCTTGGCAGCATTCCACAGCTTGGCCAGGCGACGGCGGAGTCTTGCAAGTCATCTTGCCCTGCTCATAAACCTGGAAGCAGCCCTTCTGGTACACATGGAAGCCATCATTTATGCTCAGCGAGGAAAAGCATTGTTGGCCTTCACAGTGGTCCTCGTTCCCACAGGAGAGTCCTTCACACACACACATGTAAAGTTTAGGGTTTACCTTGGGCTTCTCATCTGTAAAGAGAGAGAGGAAGAGAGCAAAGTTTACTACATGGGATGTGGCCCCACTGGGGGAATAATACAGTTTCTCCAAGACCATTACAGACACATTAACCAAACAGAAGATAGGATAGAGCTAGGCATCACCACTGGCCATGATGATCATTCTGTTACCTTGTATCTCTCACTTGACCATCGCCAAATAATAACCTCTCAATATGTGTATGTATTTGCATAAGCTGTGTACACTATGATCCTAGCTAGCCAAAGACTGCTCATTACCTGTCCAGAGGCTTCTGAAAATGAACTTCTCCCACTGTGGTTTTCAGGTTACTCTCATAGTTTAATGGACTCACATCCCAGTCTTTGCATCAAATTAAAATGGTTTACTCAAACATAGTGCTTACCATCTCTCGTTTATGTAAAAAAACAAAAATGGCTCCTAAATGTATGGCAGTTGTTAGCTAACACCAGTTCCTACTGGCTCTATTCAGCTCTCCATCAACTAGTCACGAAAGCTGACCTTCCTGTTTTTATTTAACTGCTTCTGAAATATACTCAGTCAATAAGAATTTACAAGGCTATCCGTCTATTCAAATCCATATTATCGATATTATCTATTAGATGCCTAATATCTCAACAGTAGTAACACTAATGTTTTTATGTTGGTTACCACGGGAGTTCATAGTTTCTTTAACCTTTCCAACTGGCAGGAAAAATGTTGCAATTGATTATTGAAGATAAAGGCACAAGGAGGGGCCCTCCTGGTGGTGTAGGGGTTCAAGACACAGCACTATCAAGCTATTGCCAGCCACTGCAGCACAAGTTTGATCCTGGGACGGCCAGGGAGCTAGCCACATAGCACTGCAGACCTCTCCTGCCTTCCCAGCTGCTCCCCTCAGCAGTATATTTCAGTAGATCTGCCTGTTCTGCTCCCAACTCTCTCTGGTGAATCCTCTCACCCCCTGCAACTCTGGCTTATACCCCAGTTCTTGTATTCAGAAATAAATAAATCTTTTTTAAAAAAAAAGGCACAAGGAAACGGAAGGAATAAAACAGTGTCTGAACAGTAAGGTAACAGGTGGAACTCAGGAGAAGCCCACACCTTCTGGGTCCAAGGTGCAATGGAAAGAGGAAGAAATGTATCTTCAGGGAAGAACACCGTGCCCCATCTCCTGACTGTTTCTTTCTTAAAACACTCATTTGCAGTTTCATTTTCCAAATCGCTCTTTTCTCCCTTCCTTGTTCAAATTAGTTCAGACTTGCTGGTTCCAACAGTTTCCATAAGTGGGGAAGTAAAGTGAAGATGGATGCAAACAGCCAAGTCCCAGAGGCCACTGATGATTTAGCCAAGGCCACTTTCACCAAAGCACTGTTCACATAAGAAAATCCCTCTTTCTGGGTTCCCTCTAACAGCACAGACAAGCTGCCTTCGAATCCTTGAACCCACTGGGAGATAACTCCTTCTTTCTTAAAATAACAGATCGGATGGCTGTGCTTTCAAGAGGAGACCTTAAGGTAAGGTCTTTGAATATGTCAGGTTCATTTACACAGATCTATGTGGGAGTGTGTAGAGATGTGGGATATTTCAAAAAGAGAAAAGCATTCTTAATCTCTCTTCTTCCCTCTTCAAAGAAGTGAAAAATAGTTCACTGCCCACTGGACTGTGGGTGCCTCGTCCCACAGAGTAAATGCATGCAGACACACAGACACAAGCTTTCTATTTATAATTGACTGGCTAGTTCTTTTGAAAACCACAAGGGGCTCATCCAAGAGCAAAGACATGCCTGAAAGCAGAAAATCCAAAATAGCCGTTGACAGTGTATGTATGTCACCAGTCTCACCCCCGAGAATCAAAAGTTCTCAGACATTTTTAATGAGCAAAAAATTTAATGAGCTAGAAGAGTCTTTATTTTCCTTGCCTAGAGAAAACCAAGAGAAATTCCAGCACCAATCTATTTCCATGAGGATGAGAAACATATATATCTATTGACATCATCCAGCAGAAAGTTTACACTTGCCAAAACCAGTTGATAGATAGTATTTCTAGGGAGTCTAGACATGCTTGACACTCAAATGGCAAAAGGCTGGGCTGAGGGTTGCCAGCCATGCTGCCCAACAGGTGATGGTACTTGCAGAGAGAAATGAATGGGCGGGGTGGGAGGGGGACTGATGGAGTCCTATTGATTCACGATCTACAGCAGGGAATTTAAAAAATGGTACTTTAAAACTATGCAACACTGTGACTGATAAAAATTTGAAAAACAAAAATATTTTAAAACCCTAAATTTTTTTAGTCATGATATGGATACATACCTAACTCATCAAATCCTACCTTCCTTTGGAAGCAGGATTAGGGATAATGGGTTACTATTGGGATGTAGGGGTAAAATGAAAATAAAATAGGTTGGTAACGCTTCATGGACAATAATGGATTGGTTTAAATGAATTACTCAACTCAAAGTACCTACAGTCCTCTAGAACATGAAGGGCTCATTCATTACCAATCCTATGAAAATGGATAACAGGGTAACTAAGAATGGCACCTTATGATTATAGTAAAATACCAGATTTTTAAAAAATAATGTCATAAAAAATAACTAACAATCTCTCTTAATGTGCTCTCAGAGTGAACTGTGCTTTTAAAGTTCTAGCCCAGGGCCTCCCCGGTGGCGCAGCGGTTGAGCGCTGGGTTACGAAGCTGCGCTCAGCCTCTGCAGCGCCGGTTCGATCCCCGGCTGCTCCCCGGCCACCTGAGGAGGGTCCCACATGGCGCGCAGACCTCTCCTGCCGCCCGCTGCTCCCCTCAGCAGTGTACTTCGGTCCTTCTGCCTGCTCTGCTCCCAGCTCTGCTCTGGTGAATTCTCTCACCTCCCGCGCTTCTGACTGTACCCAGTGCATGTATAAAAACAAAACAAACAAAAAAATAAAATAAATAAATAAAGCATGCCTCTAAAAAAAAAAAAAAAATAAAGTTCTAGCCCAAACTGAACTCTAGGTCCACAAACCCAAGAAAGGACACTGTCTTTCCAAAGTTTCTAGTTTTTGACAGGGAACAGTCTGACAGATGTTTGGACTCTAAGAGAAGTTTGCCAGAGCTAAGCAGCCTCAAGAAAGTACCATGTTTTGTAAAATTCAAAACTCACTATACCCGGGCCTCCCTTGGCGGCGCAGGCAGTGCCACACTGTGAAGCTGTCTGCAGCCTCTGCAGCGCGGGTTCAATCCCAGCCGGCTGGCAGGGGTCCCACATGGCGAGACAGACCTCTCCAGTCTCACCCACTGCTCCCCTCAGCAGTGTATTTCGTCGGTCTTCCTGTTCTGTTCCCGGCTGTCTGGTGAATCCTCTCACCCTCCTGTGCATCTGGCCTGTACCCCAGTTCTTGCATAAAATAAACAAATGTTAAAAAAAAAAAAAACTCACTATACCCAATTATTCGGAGTCCACAGGCACAATGGGGTACAGATCTTAATCAGATCTTTATTCTTTATGGCCATAAACCAAGTCAAAGGGATTCATTTGTAAAATAATACCCTTCCTTGAATCTTTATATCCCTCCTACAGGTACATACAGATAATCAGGAGTTGACTTCAATTTGGTTACTCTTTCCAGTAAGGTGTCCAAAACTAGGGTTTTCACATCCTCCCTTCTAGAATCAGATGAGGGGGAAAATGACATAAGAAAACTGTTAATACTATGTTCTATTAACTCAATCTCTGATGAAAAGTGCTCAGTCCAGCTAGTACCTAATGGAAAACTACAAAACCTTCACCACTTTCTCTCTGCTTTGCTTCTCAGCAACATTTCATCTTAATCTGTATATTCCCACATAATTAGCAAAGGCCTACTGTATTCATTTTTTATATATAGCCAAATATAAATGAAGATCCTAAATTCACAAGACTATAAGAATGGCCACACGCACCCACATGCACACCTGCGCATGCACACAGAAACACCCGTTAAATACCATATTGGTGATTTCAGTCAAAGAGTGGATTAGTCAGAGATGACAAAGGATTTTCTGAGCGAGGATTACCAATTCAACAAAGAAGGTTAAAAGCACAGTAGCAGCATTTCCAAGATCTTAATATCCACAATTTTAGTAATACAGCAGGTCCCCAAATGCCCAAGACTCAATTTTTAGTCAGGTCAAAATTTAGGAATAACAATAACTGTGGATCTGTGCTATTTTATTGGAGGCAGGCAAGGAAAGGTAGTGAGTGGAGGGGGTAAAATCACAAAACCCTTTTTGGGCCATCAGTAAAGTTCTGTGGCACTTAAGTTCTCAAAGTACTCTCTCCTCTCTCAGACATGATACACATCAAGGCAACACAGCAGGAAACAGCAGGGAATGGATCACCACCTTCGGGGCTGGTTCCCATCAGCTCAGACAGGAAGCACCATATCTGATATGAAGATTTTGCACTTGCCTGTGCAAACAACCAGGAAGTGCCCTGGCAGAAGCACCAAGTCTATTCCACCTAATTGACATTCATTTAAATAATTCAGCCATTTAAATGTCAAGCCAGAGGTATTCCCTCTCTGCGGAGCTCACCCACATTGTTTGTTCAAAAAGGCACCTCCCGGCATTACTCAGTGTTATGGCTGGCACCGGGTGCCCTTTGTATCAGCAGACCCAGGACTGTGAACTCACTCACAGCCTGTCTGCCTCTGACTGGGAGCAGCAGGAAGTTCGCAACACTGCCTGGGAGGATCCGGGGTGGGCTCCACAAACCAGAGGCTTGGAATCCCGGGGGTTCGCCACGGCCAAGTCTTTTAAAAGATTTTTCTTGTTCTGGGCGATACTCGCTCACCATCTGGACACACCTACTCTCAAAGCCTAATCTTAGACTGGCAGAGGAAAAGGCAGAGCAAAGAGCATCGCGGGCTTTTTAAGATTGCCCACAGTTTGGGGTAATCTTTGCCTCATAGTAAAAGTCTACACGCTTACACTGTAAAGTGGCACTGGAGCAACCTAGGCACTGTGCACCGACCTATGATGACCTCCCTCC